TAGCATAATTATTAAAAAAAAAAAAACACAACATAAATTAGTATTTTAGATCATTGATCTTCCCAAATAAAAAGCCTTTAGGAACTTTTGCCTCTCTTCTTTCTGGCAGTAGTTTGGTGCCTGGACAAACGCTTCCATTTACTCACAAATCCATTAAATTTTTTTTGGACCGAGGAGGTCGCTGGGATTTAGGAAGATGTATGGTGTTTTCCCCTTTTTTTCCCTTCCTGTCATAGTTGTATATGCAACTTGACAAGAGATCCTGGCAGCCTGCTGCTCCAGAACAGTAAACAGAGCCAGTGCTGCAGTAGTTTGCAGATAAATAATGTATTATGGCCTGTCAAATAAAGCTTTGAGCAAATACCACTTTAAAGGGTCATATATATACTGTGAATCTGAATATTACCCTACCAATCATTATTTCCCAGACCCCTTTAATTCCTTGTTATGCACACAGCCATCTCTCAGAACAGGTCACCTTTTCCCACTCCCCCTAAACCAGACAGAATTAGTATTTGCAATATTTCTGCTGGGGATGTTTGTTTAACCAGAAGAAATAAGCTCAAAAATCCTCTCTCGACACTTTTCCCTCCATCTGAAAGTCCTTGTAGATTTATTTTTCTTCACTATCTCAATTGGAAACGTGGCCCACATATTTTATTTTCTTTTGAGATCCTTGCTTTGAGATTTTAGGGAATACATCATTTGTTTGATTGGCTTTTAGGAGAAGCCTTCCTGGAGATTTAAGAGCCTCTAAAATACAGCTAGATATTTAGCTAATATGAATGTTTGGAGAGGGTAGGAGCTATATCCTTTTGGCTTTGCCTTAGGAAAAGTCTGGGCTGTGATTTCATCATGCTGGGTCGTGTTTTATCTGGGTGTTTCCCTCTTGCACTGATGGGGTTTGAGGCTCTTGCTGGCTTTGGTTGAACCCCAACTCCTTTTGCTCCTGTGCCAGGTGGAAGGGCCTGATGGTTATTTTTTCCCCTATGAGTGCTAGTGGTTATGACAAATTTATTGAGGAGGAAGGAGAGTCAGGTGGAAAGAGAAACCTTCCCCTGAGAAGTGTCTGGTGCCTAATCTTGACCTTTGTTTTGGTGTTTTTTTTTTTTTGAAGGAGGGATGTCCTGGAGCAAGTTGAAACCACTTCATCTTACATTTTCTTTCTGTGTCTCAGCCACACAGCTGGTGGTGGCAGAAGGAGAGACAAAAGAGGACCAATGTCTGCACTTAAGAACTTCCAGCAGGCCTTTTTTATTTCCTTCAGTCAAGTAATGTGTCTGAATTGTTTCAGGTGGATGCTTCCCAGAGGCTGGGATTTGATTTCCTGCAGGGGAAGGTGGATTGAGTTAGTTGGGGTGGTGGTGGGGAAATAGTGAAGAAAGGAAGAAGGATGATGGATCTGTTGTTTTATGGTGGATCCTTGTGTGGCCTTTCTATAAAGTTGAGCAACTGAGGGGATGTGGAAGCAGAGACAACTGCTTATTTGCCTTCTGCTCTGCTCATGTGAGGGAGCTTTTCCTTGGCACAGAAAGGAGAGTGGGGTTATTTTTTCAGACAGGAAGCTGAGCTAGAAGGAAGCTTTACCTGCATTTCAGCTTCTAGGGGAGGATGAAGATGCTCATCCTGTCAGATTTGGGGAGTTTGGAAGTATTTAGCACATGTTTCAGATCACAAGCAGTCTTTTAAATAAACAGAAATCAGAAAGTACCCTGATGTGTGTCAGGACTGCCTGCTGGGATTGGGCTAGTGAAGCTGAGTGAGACCCAATTCTCCTGCCTTCTTCCCTTCCCATAGAATGGTTTGGATTGGAAGGGAGCTAAAAGGTCGTCCAGTGCCACCCCTGCCATGGGCAGGGTCACCTTCCACCAGCCCAGGGTGCTCCAAGCCCTGTCCAACCTGGCCTTGGACACTTCCAGGGATCCAGGGGCAGCCACAGCTTCTCTGGGCAACCTGTGCCAGGGCCTCCCCACCCTCACAGGGAAGAATTTCTTCCCAGTATCCCATCTAACCCTGCTCTCTGGCAGTGGGAAGCCATTCCCTGTGTCCTGTCAGCACAGTTCCTGACAAACTGCATGTTCCACAAACCCCTTGGATTTCTTTTCACTTCACATCGGCTTTTAATGAATTTCAAAATACCGCCTTTTGTATTTTAAGCTAATCCCTTCAGCATCTCAGGTGTCCTGGCCTGCAGGAAGGACCCTGGCAGGGTTGTTATTTCATTATCCAGGTTGGGGTGTGGATGCAGAATCCACTGCTGGCACCAAGTGGCTGCGGGTGGAAGCTGCTCCCGAGGTGTTGGACTCCCCGGCCCTCTGTCTTGTGTGTGGAGATTCGGGGGCTGCAGTTTGAAAAAGGGGTAGGATCCCCCATCCCCTCCTTTTATTCTGATGGGGGGGTATCCTGTGTGGGAGCTGCTCCATCCCGCTCTGGCTGGTGCCATGCCAGATGAGCAACTGCTTTGGCCCTGCTTTTCCTTTTCTTCAGGACACAGGAAAGGCAGAAAGGCTGTCAGAGCATTTGCATGCCTGGAATAAATCCCAGTGTGCTCTGCCCTTGGATGCATCCCATCCTCGTAGGGTTTGGGGTTGTTTTTCCCCCTGAGTAACTAGGAAAATAACCTGTCCAGGATCATCCCACACACGGAGGCAAAGGATTGTGATAACCTGGGAAAGGGCACTCCTTTTCCTGCCTTTTCAAATACCTGGGGGGTTTTAACACTTGACAGTTGTTTGTAGGCTGTGTATTAAGTACTGAAATTAAAATTACAGTAGGCTTTGTACTCTCCTTCATTTCCAAGTGGGTTGTCCAGAAGACTTTGCAGAAGGCAGGGGAGTGCAGATGTGCCTCTGGGAGGCAGGGAGATGGGAAAAGGGGTGTCAGGGATAGCTGGGGTTGTTATTTTGCAGCAGAAATCAAGGGATTTCCACCCACAAATCCTTTGAAGCCCAGTTGCTTTAGGAATAAACACAACTGCTGCCATACCAGCAAAAAATAAGCAGAATTGTCTGCCTGAAATTTGCCTACATCATCTTTAAACTACGTGCCCCGTTCATCCCTCCTGTAATGAATTTAAATGCATCTGACACCAGCTGGGAGGCAAGTTTTGCACTTTCTGTATCCATTGCCGTGATTTTGCTGTTTTTTCTCAGTTCAGTGGTGGCTGTGTTGGAATTTGGGAGCTGGATGTTGAGCAGCTCTCTCTGCCAGCCCCTTTCTGGACTGACCTTTGCAATGAGCGCCACTCTTGGGCATCTTGAGTGTTTTGGTTTAATGTTAGAGATGCTGATTTTAAAGTGAGATAAACCCAGAGTAGGCAGCATTAATTCCACAGTTTTCAGGTGTTTGTGTTTGTGGTTTTTTTTTTTTTTTTTTCTTGTGAATAATTGTATGGACTCATCACTGTACCTGTCAGACACCTGCAGAAATTAAAAGTCAGAACCAGTTTTGGAGCTCACAGGGAGGGAGGTGAGTTGATTTATTCCCAGGGAATCAGGATGATTTGGGTTCCAGAGAGTTTGTATAAATAAGTCATTCCAGTTTTCATCTTGGATTTCATTTATCTTTATTTTGTCCTTTAACATTATCTCCTAACTGTGCAATAAGACTGATGGGCTGATTTAAGATTTTCTGAGCATATTCACCACTTATGGGGTTGATTTGAGATATTTGCACCGGGTTCTTAGCCTTTAATAAAAGATGCTGCCTAAAGCTCCGCTAAAAAAACTTGGGATATTTGAAGGCTGGTGGTAGAAAAATGCTGGTTTCTGTCTTTGGGGATGAAATCAGGAACATTACAGAAGAAGAAAGAGTTGGTGCTGCTTTTGAACCAGTACTGGCAGCGTCCCTGGGGTGTTGTAAAACTTGTTTGCATTCTTCAAGCATGGCAGAAACTATTTTTGCTTTTTAATGAAGAACATACTTCTCTTCCAAATTATTTTTCCCCCTCCTTTCCCCTGCACACGACAATGGAAGAGGCCCATGTCTTGCAGCCTCAGTAATCCCCAAATCCCGTGTCACGTGGCAGTAAAAACCACAATCTTCTCCCCAAATCCTGCGTGGGCCACTCAGGTGAGAGCACAAGGTGCCAAGGAGCAGAATTTCTCCGCTGGGGAGAACCAAACCAACCATCCAAACCCCTCCTGCCCTGGTGTTCCATGGAGAAAAGCAGCCAAAATCTGGCTGATATGCTAATAATTAAAACGTTACTAGCACAGAAGAGCAGCTGAGGCAGGAATGGTGAACTCACCGGGCAGCAGAGTGTCGAGTAACTGGTACCACGTTGTTCTTTACAAGTTTAAAGATTAAATTTGTTGTTAAATGTCATCTTCTGGCTTGTGATCAGCTGGAGTGTCCAATGTATGTTTTCTGATAAGTTTGAAGGGATATAATTTATACCAAACAAGGGATCCTAAGTGGTGAGATCTGTTAAACCAGGTGAAGTCTTACGTGTTTGTAGAGTCACAAAGAGGTGGGGAAAAGGAAGAGGAGGAAATCTGCATTATTCAGTGAGCAGAGACCTGATGTTCCAAACCAGCACCTTCCCAAGGTGGGGAATTGCTCTTCCCTCCTCCCCTGTGAAAGCCAGGAGATAAAGTACTGCAGGAGAGATGGATTAATGGAGAAAACCTCCTGCAGGGAAAACACAGCCGGCTTTGGAAGGGTCAGGGGGAGCTGGGAGGAGCTGAGGGCGAGGAGAACTTGGGGAAGGTGAAGTCTGGAGACATTCCCTCGCTGGGACACTGACCCAGGGCTTGGAGCAGAGAAGAGCTAAAAGTGAGACTCAGTTTATGCAAAGACTTGGCTTTGGTTTATTGACAGCAGCTGTGGAACCGCCTCCTGCACCTGCTGCTTTTGAAGCCCTCACTGGCACATTAGCTCAGCCCTGCCAGGTAAAACTAAGGAGGGCGAGACGCAAAGGCTTCTCCCAGGAGTTTTCCCGGGAGTGGCACGCGGGGAGAACGTGGATTTATCCGACTTCTCTGTCGCTTGGGTTGCAGTTTGAGCGGCACGACCCGGTGGAGGGGCGGATCACGGAGCGGCAGTTCGGGAGCATGCTGCTGGCCTACAGCGGGGTGCAGTCCAAGAAGCTCACTGTCATGCTCAAACAGCTCAAGAAACACTTCCAGGACGGAGAGGTCGGTGGCATTCACAGAAAATTGGGGAGGTTGAGGTGTGGGGGGGCAGCTGTTTCCGTCTCCTTAGGGAAAGCATCGGGGAGACGCCCTGGCAGGGAGAGGGAGGAGATGGGAAGGCAGTGGGCAGTGCAAGCTCGTTCCTATGGAAATGGAGGCTGTAATTTGAAAAATTAAATTTGCTGAGCAAATTTACCCTGGCTCTGGAGCCAGAACAAACATTGCTCCTGGTTCCTGGCTCGACCTTGGATTAATTAGCTGCTGCGACCGGGAGGGGTTATTATTTAGTTATTAATTTCTGTGAAAAATTATTTTGAGGCACTCACAGTTTAGAGAGGGATAAGTTTGCAGACCCTGCACTCATTAATTCAGTGTGAGACCTTGGAATAAGACATCCACAGCACAAGGACGTGCTTTATCAGGTAAGGCAAGTATGGGGCTGAGGAATTACTTTGAGCATTAGAATTTTACATCTGCTCCTATAAAACTGGAATGTTCTTTTATTAACTGGGTTATAAACAAGCAATTCTTCAAAATGAGAATGGATGGAAAGTCTTTGGCTGCCTGTTGGGCCAGGCTGGCTGTTTTAGAGCTGCTTCCTCCTGACATCAGAACTGGAGTTTATTTCTTAAGTGGTTTAGATAGATGCCAAGTGTGTTATAACACACAAGTTTTGACCAAGGTCTTCTCCTTTTTTGTCCCCTATTGGTGCCTTAATAGGACTCCTACATTAACAGGAATGATTTGATTTTTCCAGGAAAAAAATACTTCAGTGCAGCATGTGTCTAACAGAAATTATCAGCTCTGATATTTGCAAATAATCAGTTCTTTTGCTGTGATTTTTGGTTTTTAATTTGTGTGTGTGTGTGTGTGTACAGATATTATTGAACAGTAGCTGGATGAATGAGAAAATAGGCAGAGGGATTTATTTTGGAAGGCTTCTTACAGCAGATGTTTTCTTCCTTTCATGTGTAAGCCGAGCCCCTGACATCTGTGCCAGAGGAAGAACTTTTTTGTTTTTACCTTATTCCTCATCCCCAGATCAGCTAGACTGTGTTTCTATTTGCAGACAACCAGATTCAGAGCAAGTCTTTATCTTCTTTTTATTCCAAGGACTTTCAAGGAGAGGAAAATGGGGAATAGGACAAGACAAGGGGTGGAATTGTTGGAAAGTTCACGATTCCTTACCCTGGTGAGGATGAAACTCCCAGTAACTCTACCAAAGCCACCCAGCAAGCTTTCCCTTGAAAATGCAGTTATCTTGTGAAAGCTTTCTTATGGAATCTGCCAAACATCCTCTTCCTTGTCTGATTGTCTGATGTCCTCTTCCTTTCCTGCACAAGGCAATCCTGGCAGCCTCCAAAACCATCAAGCTCTGGGTTTAATCTAATCCTTAGCTGTTTTCCAGCATTGTTACTCTACATTCCTGCTTTTGGGAGTGTTTTCTTGTATTAACCGATAATCTCCTTTTTATTTTTATTTTTCTCGAGGAAAAAATCCCATCTTACCCTGGATATGTGAACTTTGCATATTCAGCAGAGCTGCTTTGTGTAAACTTGCTTGTGATTGTCCTCCTCAAGTTATACTTACACGGCTGCTTTTCTCCCAGTGAGAAGGACCCGAGTCCAGTCATATTTACAAGCAAAGTATTTGGTATATTTATGTCTCCCTAACCACTGGGAAAGCAAGCTGGCTCTTCAGGAACTCTTCAGAAACTCATGATTCATGTCACTGTCTGTGTGTGCCTTGGGGGCTGGCTCAGGTATTTTCCTGTGGAGGTGGCAGGGGGTGGCAGTGAGGTGTAATTCTCCCTGGACTCCCAGGGAAAAAAAGCCCTCATTTTTGAAGGAGGTCTTTGAGCTGTCGTGCTATAAGCAGGTGTTTGCTCCTGGAGCCTGCCTGCTTATGTTGTGTGAGTGTTACTTGAATGATGGAAGGATTCAGGCTTATGAATCAACAGCTGGAGCTACAAAGGCCTTGAGGGAGGTAATCTGTCATCTGTTGACTTGCTGGTACAAGCCTGAGGTTGTCCCAGTCTCTGATTTTATTTGTGTTTTAGTAGCTGGGACAGTGTTAATGCTGATGCCTGTCTCAGCTACAGGATTCCTCAATAAAATATTAAATTTCACAATACTGCTGGCATTGTTGCTACAGAAATTCAGTGTCTGTCCTTAAAGACATCCTCCCAGGCCAGGAGCATGTCAACCAGGAAAAGCATAGCAGGGAGGCATCCTGGCAATTGCAAAGATATTTTCTCTTGTACCAAACAGAGGCATCTTTGCAGTGCTTCCTGCAGAAGCACTTGATTTCTTGGGTTTTTGTTTTTTTTGGTTTTTTGCTTAGGACAGTGTTTAATTTAATTCTGCTGAACATCTCAGGAAGCGGGGCAGGTACACGTTCAAGGAAAGCTCCCTGCAGAGCCACCAGGGATTTTTCCAGCTCTCTTGTCCACGGGTGCTATCCCATTTTGCCATCTCATCCTTTCTGGCCTGGCTCCCTGAAGCCAGGGCTGACACAGCCTGCTGTTCGTGTGTCGGCACTCACGCAGATCATCGGTGCGTTGCCACACGCTCGGTTTTACAGCAAAGATAGGAACAATCTGCAGATGTCAGTGGGAGAAGCCCTTTAAAAATGTGCTTTTTTTCTTCCCAAAGATGACTGGTGGCTTCTTCCCTGGTGAGGAGTTGTTTGAGCAGGGTTACAGCAGATCATGTAGGTTTATATTTGACAGTGCCTGCTGAGCGTGTGCTCCCTCATCCAGACCATGGAAGCTGTGCCCTGTAATGCAGTTGGGATGTTTAATATCTCGCTCTATCAGTCTGTTGTGCCAGGCAGGATAGGAGGAGCCTGGACCTCAATTCCTCTTGACAAGCTGATTTATCTGTCCCAAAGAGGAAGGCTGAGTGGTTGTTACTGTGCTGATGATTTACCCCTTCCTTGGCTGTGCTGGGGGAGTTGGAGGCTCCAGCCCTCGTCCCAGCACTGCTGTGGTTGTGCTGGTGCTAAACAGGTGGATAAAATCAGGTGCAGTGTGAGCAGGTGGGGGTCCCAGAGCTGCAGCTCCTCTCCTGGGGTCTCAGGATGAGGCTGTCCCGGGTGAGCAGAGCAGACAACGATCCAGCCCCGCAGCAAAGCCGAGCGGGGCAACGTCTGTACCTGCTGTGCTCTGCAGAGTCACCTGCTGGGGAAGACCTGGGGCCCCCCAGGGATCCCTGAACCTCGTGGGAGAGACCTTACAGCTCATGGACTATTTCACCTTGTCATTGCAAGTGTGCAGGCTTCCAAAAATAAACGTTTTTGGAGTGTGCACTTCTCCTCTGTCCCTCAGCTTTATGCCAGTGAGCCACTCTGTCCTTTCCAGGTAGTGTCTGTAATCTCCCGTTCCCATCACCATGTGGGTGTCTTCTCTCTGTCCTAGGGGCTGACATTTGAGGAGGTGGAGAACTTCTTCACTTTTCTGAAGAACATAAACGATGTGGACACAGCTTTGAGCTTCTACCACATGGCTGGAGCTTCTCTGGATAAAGGTATTAAAATTTGGGGGGGACGCTGGGGTGCTGAAAGCCTGAGGGAGCACAACTCGTGCCATGTCTTTGGAGCTGGGAAGGTGTCAAACAAGCCCAAGCTGACAGGTTAAAAATGTACCCAAATTGCAATTCCTTCCTGTAATGAGATGTTTCACTCGCTACATCCCGGGATAAAGAAGGATTTCGGGTTTTGTACTTCCCCAGTTTTAGATAGAGAGGAAGAAAGGCTGAAATGTGCAGCCTGGGTGGACACAGCAGGACCATTCTGATGTGAGCAGAGGCAAGATGACCTAGTGAGTGTATCACAGGCTGTGCTTCCAGATCCCAGGGACACCAGTGTTTCTTCTTCATCCCCACCTTCTGAAGCGACCTTTATTTCTCCCTTTACAAAGGACTTGAAAAAACTGTAAAAAAACCAAACCAAACTCTTGCCATCTTCCTTCGTGTGGAGATCCCTGATCCACAGGGAGAGGCACGATCCAGCAGTGGGGCTGGTGGCAGGAACTGCTCAGCCCTGGATTTGTTCCAGCTCTGCTCAAAAATCAGAGGCTTTGCCTAGAAATAAGGGCTGTATGGCCAGATGCTGCATCTCTGATGAGAAATCCAAGTAGTGGCAAGCACCTTTGGAGCTCCCAGGTGTGCTGGAGGGAAGGAGGGGGTGGCACTGGAGCCTCACTGAGCTCCCAGACTGAGCATTAAAGTCTGTCCAGAGTTAGTGTGTGTGGCCAGAGGAGTGAGCTGATTAAACCTCAGAGCTGGTGTTTCCTGGGGAGCTTGGTAATAACGTGGTTTATTGATCAGCCCAATCCATAGCCTTCTTCTCACTGTGTGTTTCCTTTTCTCAGCTGGTCTGGATCAGGTGTGTTCTCAGATCTGACACACTGATGTGAAAAAAGAAAGGCAAAAAAACCACCCCAAACCATACATTTCAAACCAAAGTCCAGCTCTCTGCTGCCAGGATTTATCACAGGTTTCTCTTCTAGATTATTTTTTTTTTTAAAACACTCAGCCTGGGGTTATAAAAAAAAGATGTCAAACTCATTAAAAGTTTTTTAGGCTAAGTGGAAACTCTTGTCTTACTAGAAAGTTAAAGCTGATGTATTCAGGCAGCTGCAAAATTAAACATTTCAGAAGTAAGGTATTCCAACTGGTGCTGTTGTGGGAATATGAAGGCATTAATAGGTTTTTGGGCAGTGGAATTACAGAGGGAGTCAAACATGTCACATCTCTTCCTGTGTGTGTCAGCAGCTCTTCTCATCTTTAATTTTTTTGTGGTGGGAATCATCTGTACTCTTTGTTTTGTATCATAGTTACCTTAAGACTTAAAAGAAGCTGATAGGATTTTTTTTTTTTTTTCATTTCAAAGTAAAAATACCAAGTCTGGGTGTGCTGCTGCTGCTGCTCTGAGCCCTTTCTGCAGCATCCCATGAGGAGATCACAGCCCAGCAAATCCAATTTACTTGGTGTCTGCAGGAAATTAGCAGCTGTCCTGTTGTGGAATGTGTGTTTGTGGAGAATTTAGGGCTGGGTGCAGTTGGTAAATCATTGTGATTGCTGTTTAGTGACGTGCCATTAACGAGCTGGTGCTGGAGCTGCAGCCACGGAGGTGGGAGTGTCTGGTGGGGTAAGGGAACCTTCCTCAGGCAGAAGAGGGGCCAAATTTAAACCAAATAAGCAATAAATGGAGTGTGCTCTCTTAAAAGTCAAGCTTTCACAAGGCTGCTTATTAAAAACTAACAAATGTAAAAAAAGTACTGGTCGGATGGGGAGGAGGAAGAGGATAGTGTGTGTCAGAATTTGCTGCTGACAATGCAGCAAACATTATTATAATTTTAGAAGGACTGTTTAAAATTTAAGAGGAAAAAAAAAACCAAACTGGATGGTACCAAACAGCCAGAGCCTGACAGGCTGTTTTTTGTGCTGAATTGAAGTCACTCCTTCTTCTTCTTTTACAAAGCATCATAAACCTGTATTTTAACGACCCATTTAATAACACCCAGATTATTTGTTAGCCCATCTTTCATTTCCCCAGAAACAGAATGGCTGTCATTCCCTTAAATCATAGGCATTCCTTAGAAAACTTCCCCAGCCTGGGCTCACAGCTGGCAGCAGGATAGGAGCTGAATTCAGAGCTTATTCCCCTCTGGGTGTGAATTGCACTTTTTTTTGGCACTGCATCCAACCAGACCTTCCAGGCAGCCCTCCTGCTGATGGAGAGCCATGGAATAACTCCTTTGGGCTTCAGGGCAAGGCTGAATGGATGCACTTTGCTAGGAATGGGCCTAAGCGAGGGGAGATGGCTGAGCCTCTGGAGATCCTCATGTCCAGCTGGGTCACCTACAGTCAGATTTGGGATATCTCCAAGGAATCTCCTTTCTTTACATATTTATGCCTGTGGATGTGACACAAACAGTGGGTCGGGCTCTGCTTTTTTCCCCTGATCTCTCTGACTTTCTGTTGTGCTCCCTTTGATGTCAAAACAGTTTCTCCTCCAGCTGCAGCCTCACATTTCGAGGAGAAAAAGACATTGATTTGAAAAAAAGTTCAGTGGATTTTTGCTGGTTCTACTTTCATCCAACATTTCCAACTGGGCTCCTCGAAATGAGATGTGTGTATCAATGTGAGACTGATTTGTGGGAGCCCAAAACACGTGTGTCCTGCCTTTCCATCCTGGAATGGCCCAGGGCAGGGAGCCCTGCTCCTGTCACCCCGAGTGCCATTTGGCAAACAAAGGCAGCAGCCCAGCTGGCCATTATTTTGGCCAAATGTGGGATTATTCTTAAGATGGAGGGGGGAAAAGGGGAGTTTGCAATCTGGCAAGGTTCTTCTCTTGGTGAGGAATTGCTCACGGTGTGGTTCTGGGAACTGGAGTGGAAAAAAAGGATAACTGTGTCAGACACTAAACTTGCATAAAATAACTCAGATGGCTCATTAAAGGAACCAGTGGGAGACACCAGTGCATGGAATTTTAGGAGCCTTTCAAAATAGAAATGTGGAACTCATTTTCGCTGGTATGAAGTGCAGGAGACTTTCCATGGAGAGATGGATTCAACCATCCCAGAGCCCCAAATCTGGACAAGCTTTGTTTTAGGAGATCTTTCCCCGGGTAGCACCTATTTTCATTTTGTGAAATGGTAAAAAGAAATTACATGGGGAGGTTTCCCTGAATTTTATTTGCCTCTCTGAGCTACCTCCTGGTCTGGAGCATGTGTGTCAAAACGGAAAGCAGAGCCACTTTCCCCCTTCCTTGTGATTCCTTAAAAACCAACACAATCCTTGCTGAGCACAGCACAGTCACACAACCCCTGGGAAGTAATTTGGGCATCAAGCAAGAGCCATGTGATGGAGCTGACAATTGTGCAGCTGGATTAATCAAAGAGGAAGCAGGAACCCGTAAGGACAAGTTACAGCTGGGAAAACTGCAGCCAGGAAAAATAAATGAGAGGAGAGGAGGGATCAGGTAGGTAGAAATGGAGGGAGTGGGGTGAAATCTCAGCAGAAAAACATGACTTATAATTAAAGTACTTCAGATAAGAGATAATGGTTTTAAACTGAAAGGGGAGGTTTGGATTAGGTAGTATTTTTTCTCTCGGGGAAAAATTAAGCTGGGAAATAAGTTTAGATAATCCTCCAGCAGCACGGGGGGCAGGTGGGAGTGACAGCACTGGCTGGAGCCAGGATTGTATTTAGGGAATGAACATCACCCCATTGGGGAGGAGAAAGGTACCTTTTTACAGAGGGATATGTAAAATCCAGAGGCATTAGAAACTGAATGTACACATGGGAACAGCAGGAGCCTACTTGAGATTATATTTTTTTTTTTAATCCAGCTACTGTGTAAATTCAGTTTTCTCCTGCATTATTTAGTAAAAGGTTTTATAGAGGAAAGGGACACGATGGTGGCTGTGGATTCCTCCCCAAAAGCCCCAAACCTCGCTCAGGTGAGCAGAAATGGGGTGGAAAGCACCAGTAATCTACACATTCATGAAAGAAAAGTCCTGTTAGGAACACTTGATGCAGTTTCTAATTAATCCAGTTACAATATAGATTGGATGCCTATTTTTTTCCTTTCTGACACACAACGCATAACTCTTCAAAATTCCTGTAGGGCCAAGAGCTCTGCAGAGGGACTGGGATGGAGGGTGGAGGAAAGGAGAGGCTCTTTTGGGTTTCAGGCTGGTCTTGTGATGCAGTACTTCCCTCTTTTCCCTGGCTGCAGGGGAGCTCTGCAGCTAAACATTCCTCCCAGTCACTGTACAAAGTCTCTCCAGATGGGGTTTCCTCAGGTCAGGGAAGCAATTTAAATACACTCACAGCAGCCCTAGTCAGGGCTTTTTTTTTCCACATTTATCCAGCAAAATCCACTGCCTAACCCTGCCAGGTTGATGGCTCCATGGACTGTTCTTTTCTAGAGGTGGGAATAAAACTACCAGTCTGGGGAGAAAAGGGAAGTCATTCCTTACAACTCTGTATTTTATGGCAAGGTTAACCTGGTCTGCCCACTGGGGGAGGGTGGAGGAGTTTGTTCTGCAGTTTTTGGCCTTGGGTTGCAACAGGAAAACCAGTTTTTCTTATTCCCAGCCTGCTGGAATAGTTGCTTCAGAGAGTATCACCTTTGCAACACTGTCAGAAGGAGCTGCCAGGAGGTTTCCCGCCTGGAGCTTGCTGTGGTGCTGACACTTCCTTCTGATTTTATAATCAAAAGTGTGGGGGGAAAAAACCATCTAATCTTGGGGGGTGTTTAACATTTATTTTGCCCACCCGGGTGTCAGCAGCCCCTCCACACCCAGGCAGCGAGGCAGGGGGAAGGTGGGGGCTTGGGGGAGCTGTTTTTGAGGCCTGTGTGTTGTCCCCTGTGTTGCAGTGACCATGCAGCAGGTGGCCAGGACGGTGGCCAAGGTGGAGCTGTCAGACCACGTGTGCGACGTCGTGTTCGCGCTCTTCGACTGTGACGGTGAGCTGGGCTTGGAGCTGGGCTGGGAGAGAGGCCATCCAGGGGAAGAAACACAGGGGGGAAAAAATGCCCTGCTGCTCTTTGGGATCTGTAGTGATGCTCCTTTTGGGAAGGGCATCCAGTGGTACCCACCTGCTGAGCGCTGGGTTTGGTGGGTTCAGCTTCTTTCCGCCCCCCTCCCCAGGACTCTACTTTGTGTCACAAAAGGAGCTGCTGCGCTCCAGTGTTGGAAACAAGCCCATCTGGGGGTCTTATTTCCAAAATCCTGGACAAATACCAGCTTAATTAATTCATGGCAGCTCTGTGCCCTGCTGGGCAGCTCGTTGCTCTGCTGGCCCGAGCGCTCTGAGGGCGGTTGTTGCCACACTCAAGCACTCTCGGGTTGATTTAATGAGACTTAACTGCAGTCTTTGCCACCAGGGAATGATGGCAGCAATTCCAACTTGGAAAGCAGGATATTCTGCGTTTGCCCAAAGCTGTCCAGCCAAAACCAGAGCGCTTGCTGGCTCTCTGCTCCTCCAGCACAGTCACTGGGATGTGGCAGCTCTCAGTGGCAGTGGTGGTGGGGCATAAATGTGAACGTTTAAAAAATACATTTAATTATTTTACTCCTTCTTGTCCCTCTTGGTTTCAGCCCTTTCTGAGGTCACATCTCTTGTTTTATTTTCTTCTGTGCCTCAGTGCCACTTTCTGATACGATTTTCAAGCCAGATCATCAGGCTGGAGCGAGCCAAAACATATCCAAATATTCCCCATTTACATCCTCTCAGAGGAGAATCTGCTAAATATTTTGATAGCAAAGCTTTAAGGGGAAAGACTTGGGTTGCCAGAAGAGTCCCTCTAGGAAGGAATCAAGTGGAAAAGCAGGCACAGACCTCTTTTGTTTATTATTTTGGTGTTTCCACTCCATCAGTGTTTACAGACATTACCATGTACACATCAAAAACCTGCAGCGCCGGAGGGAATTTCCCTCACCCCTTGATAGGTTGCTGGAACTTTGCTGCCCAGGGCAATATTCTCAATAACCTCACTAGGTTAATGAATCTTCCCTTCTACTCCATCAAGGAAAATTTGTGCCGTTACCCTGCACTCCTGGAATTTCCTAAATCACTTAAAGCAGAGAGTTTCCTGGGGGTGCATTTGCTTTTCTGCCTCCAGGGCAGCATCCAGAGGGTTGGGATTTACACACCGTGCCTTGGGAACCCTTTCTCAGGGGTATTTTGGGAGGTGGAAGCCAGAGGTGACTTCAGACTCTCCAGGGAATGACGACAGCTGTGCTGCCCTTTACCATTATCACTTTAGGGATGTTGGTGCTGGGTTGCTGATGATTCTCCCTCCTCCTCGCAGGGAACGGGGAGCTGAGCAACAAGGAGTTCGTTGCCATCATGAAGCAGCGGCTGATGAGAGGCCTGGAGAAGCCCAAGGACATGGGCTTCACTCGGCTCATGAGGGCCATGTGGAAGTGTGCCCAGGAGACGGCGTGGGATTTCACGGCGCCCAAGCAGTAGCGGGGTCGGGGAGGAGCTCCCACATTCCCTGGATCAGCCCTGGCGCCACAGCAGGGTGGCCCCGGGCTCTGGCTGTCCATGACAGGAGGTTTTTGTAAATCCAAGGTGTAGATATCCCAGCCTGTTGTTGTTATTTGCAGCTTCTGCTTGCTGCTGGCTCCCTGAAATTCCACTCACTCAGGGAAAAAGAAGGGACTTCCACTGCCACCACCCCCGTGCTGTGCTGTGTGGGAGAGCTGGAGGTGGAGCAAGCTGAACCCCAATCACCTCTGTTAATGCTACGACAAAACAACACCAAGGGTTATCTTTGTTCTTACACTGCTCCTAAGGGAAAGATCCCTGGGTTTCCTGGATCCCACACCAGGATTTCAGATGGCCAAGCGCTCCGTGCCCTCCCCCTGGCCTGGAGGGTGCACCCCTTGGGCCCAGGTGCTGCCTTGGGGTAAGAGCAGCGAAAAGTGGTGGAGCAGCTGACTCTGCTGCCCTTCCTGCCTCACAGGAGGTCCCTGATGGATTTCCTCAAGGGAGAGCCCTCTCTGTGGGGAATTTGTCACGGGAATGTGGTGACAGATGTCTGCTGAGTGCTGCCCTCTCTGTAAAGTGTCCTGTAAAGGTGTTGCTCACAACAACATGGTCGTGGCTCGTCTCTCTGGGTTCCTGGGGCACAGGACATGGAGTGTTTGGGAAGGGGGAGGGGGAAAAAATCCCGTGGCTTTTCCAGAGCTGGAAAGACAAAGGGGATAAATCACTTCTAGAATACTTTGCTTCAGCAGCATAGGAAGGACGTGGAGCTGCTGGAGAGAGTCCAGAGGAGGCACCAAGAGGATCAGAGGATGGAGCAGCTCTGCTGGGAGGAAAGGCTGGGAGAGCTGGGATTGTTCAACCTGGAGAAGCTTTGGGATGGACCGAATTAGGGCCTGAAGGGGCCAGCAGGAAAGATGGAGAGGGACTATTTGGAAAGGATAGAGTGCTAGGACAAGAGTGAATGACTTCCCAGTGACAGAGGGAAGTTAGATGGGATATTGGGAAGGAGTTCTTCCCTGTGAGGGTGGGGAGGCCCTGGCACAGGTTGCCCAGAGAAGCTGTGGCTGCCCCTGGATCCCTGGAAGTGTCCAAGGCCAGGTTGGACATGGCTTGGAGCACTCTGGGCTGGTGGAAGGTTTCCCTGCCCGTGGCAGGGGGTGGAACAGGATGAGCTTTAAGATCTCCTCCACCCCCAGCCATTCCATGATTCATACTGGGATATCGATCCTGCTGGGAGATCATTCCATCTGCTGTCATCTCCTTCCTGCCCTCATTTCCCTGCTCCACTCGGGCGTGGGTCCCATGGCACGCACACGTCACAACCCTCAGGCACAAGCTGGGGGTGCAGGTTTGCCCCCCTGCCTGCAGGAGGGCCTGTTCTTCCCTCTGTGCTGCTCCCCATGGGCAGCCTCCACGGAAACACCACCATTCTCTCCTTTGGAACCCCCGGGGGGACTGAATCCACGGAGCAGCCCAGAGCATCCTCCTCCCTCTTCAGCATCTCCTTCCTTCGCCGTTCCCGGCACAGGCCTGAAGCCCCTGTTTACAAGGCAGGAAACTTGAGCTGAGAGAGTTCCTGAATGGGGTTAATCCTCCCCTCCCGCACCACGGGCCCCCCTTTTTGGGGGGCAAGGGGGTTTGTGGGGCCGGCTGGGGGGGATTCCCCGCTATCCCCCTACCCCTTTATCCCAGCCCTCCCCAATTTCTCTTCCCCCCCAAATCTCCCTCACGACTCCGCCCCGCTGCGGGCGGGGCTCGATGACGTCATCACCGCGCGCCCGGTCCCGCCCCGCCGGACCCCCCCCCTCCCGGCCGCCGCCGCCGCCATGGAGTCGAACCGGGACGAGGCGGAGCGGTGCATCGGCATTGCGCTGGCCGCCGCCAAGGCCAACCAGCCCGACAAGGCCCGCCGCTTCCTGGAGAAGGCGCAGCGCTTGTACCCCTCGCAGCGGGTCCGCGGTGAGCGCGGGGCCGGGGCCGCGGCGGGGGGGTCAGGGGGGGAAGAGCGGCCTGCGCGGCCGCCGCCGGGCCTGACCTCTCACCCGCACCGCGCCTGCGCGGCCCGCGCGGGGCACGCTGGGAAAGCGAGTCCGGAGCGGGCTCGGGGTCCCGCCGCCCCCCGGGCTGCGGCTCCGGCCCCGTCCCCTGCGCTGGGACCGGGTGGGGGGCGCCCCGGGAGCTCCCTGGGTCCGTGACCCCGGGCTGGTGCGAGCAGCGCTGCGGGGCTCGGCAAGGCGCGAGAGAAGTTCTCTCGGGGGAGGCTGCGGAAAGCCTTTGGCCCTTCTCCTTCTCGTCGGCTCCTCCTGTGCCTCCCTTCCCACTCCTCCTCCTCTCCTCCTCCTATTCCTCTTTTCCTCCTCCTCTCCTCCTCCTATTCCTATTCCTCTCCTCCACACGTTCCTTCTTTCCCCCCTCGTATTTTTCCTTTCCTATTCCTCTTCTCTTATTCCTGTTTCTTTCCTCCTCTTATTCCTCTCCTCCTCCCCTCATTCCTTTCCTCCCTTTCTTACTTCTCCTCTTTCCTTCTCTTCCTCTTTCCCCTTTCCTATTCCTTCTCTCCTTTTGCTCTCCTCCTATTCCTATTCCTCTCTTCCCTTTATTTCTCCTCTCCTCTTATTCCTTCCCTCCCGCTCCTATTCCTCCTCATCTCTTCCTCTTATTCTTCTCTCCCTCTCTTGTTCCTCCTCCTTTCCTCGTCATATTCCTCCTCCTCTCCCTCTCCTGTTCCTCTTCTCCTCCTCCTGGAGTTTTGAGGAAGGGTTCTCACCTCCTGGAAGCTTTGATGGAACGTGGGAAGTGGTGTTTGGAAGCGGCCAAACACAATCCCTTCCCTGCCCGCTCTGACGTTGCGGAAATTTATACAAAGGGCCGCGGGTTTATTTTTTTTTTCTCTTTGACCTCGTTTGAGTTTGGATTCTTTGGCTGAGCTTTGCAGTTTGTGTGTGTGTGTCCCAGGGCTTCCTGGAATGCTCTTTTTGGCTGCTCCAGGCCCCTTCCCGCTCCCCCAAACATGCTGTGCCAGCCTGCTGTGCCTGCACTGTGGTTTTCTTGCCCTTCCTTTCCTCGCAATTTGTGCTTCTGAGAAATTCCTGTGTAGGAAAAGTGACTTCTGGAGGACGGCAGAGGCCGGGGGGAGGCAGCAGGGGCGGGTTAATGTTAAACACAATGTGGTAATTTGTGGCCAGACCCAACCGAGTCTCACATCCGAGGACCCTTTGGGTCCGGAGTTGGGAAACGCTGCCATAGATCCCGCGGTTCCGCGGAGGTCACTGAGTCTCCAGAGCTCCTGGGAAGACTCTTTTCCCACGAGTTCCGGTGGGTTTGGCAACGCTCAGCGACGTGGCCCCCGTGCAGCTGCAAACCCTTGACCCCGGCTGGGCCTTCGGTGTCGTCAGCAGGGGACCAGGGGAGGGTTTTGCAAGGGGATTTCGGCAAGAACCCTCTGTGTCAGCGCAGCCCCTGTCGCCCCAGAGGGCGAGTTGGGGAAGTTTTGTTGGACAGTGTTGGCTGATGAGCGAGGAAAAGTGGAGCTGAGGTGGCAGAACTGAGAACTAATTCAGATTAGTCTGAATTAGTCTCCTGTCCATGCCAGGAATCTGTGGATTTGGGCTATGCTGGGGCTGCCCCGGCCGTGTGTGCTGGAACACAGAACCCCTCCCAGTGCTGGGCTGGTCCCGGGGGCTTCAAACTGACAGACAGTGGGTTTAGATGGGATATTGGGAAGGAATTCTTCCCTGTGAGGGTGGGGAGGCCCTGGCACAGCTTGCCCAAAAAAGCTGTGGCTTCCCCATCCCTAGAAATGTCCAAGGCCGGGTTGGACGGGGCTTGGAGCACCCTGGCATAGTGGGAGGTGTCCCTGCCCATGGCAGGGGGTGGGACTGGATGATCCTCAGGGTCCCTTCCAGCCCAAACCGTTCTGGGATTCTGAAATTCTCGTGGCAAACTGTGGGGCACTGAGCCCAAAGCAGCAGGAGCAGGGGGTGGGGGGAGGAACAGCCTCGTGAGGGGAAATTTAAAAGCTCCAGGTTTTGAAGGAGGAAGAGCTGAGCCTGTGATTCTGTGAACACTGGAGTGGTGTGAATATGAGGGAGGGAAGGATTTATTTTTCTGAAATAAATTATTTTAAAATTTGTGGCCGCCCCCCCTCAAGCTCAAAAGCTCACCCAGTGAGTTACTGCTCGTTACCCCACTGTCATTTTTATCTCTCATCCCCTGTTGGCTCTTGGATTACGGAGTGGGTTTTTCTTGCCCCTCCAATCCTCTGGGGACAGATAGGATATCTTGGATATCTTGGCTCATCTCTTGGCCTGCAAGCATTGTTTGCACTGGCTTTAAGAAGGTGATACCCCCATAGTGCAAGGTCTGTAGTGTGCAATCCATGGGAGGAGGTGGAACCTCCTTCCCAGTTCTGGGCTCTGGATAAAGGACTGCAAGCTCAGGATACCGAGGCTTCTGTAAATAATGAGGCTGGGTTTAATCACAGTACATGTGCCTGCTCTTTTTGATGAAGAAATCAGTCAGATTTAAAAAATAGATTGAAACAGATTTAAAATCCAGCTGCCAGGGATGATGGAAAGATGTTCCGTGCTTGGAGTCTCCCTTGGTTGTGTCTCCTGTGTGGTTAGGCCAGGCCTGGGTGTTTGTCCCCTCCTGGCTGAAGGGGATGGAGGACAGTGCCTGAGCCTTATGAGGAGGAAAAGCAAAGGGAAAGTGAATTTATGCAACTCCTGTTCAGTAATTAGGAGAGAAAATGGTTTTCACAGCTGCTCCTGATATGTGGGTAAGGGAGAACAAAGGGTGACTCGTGTGACGGGGCCTGTCGTGCTGGCAGCCACCAGTGCTGCAGTCCTGTCCCCAAAAAGGGGGAGTGTCCCTGTGGGATTGGCATCCCACAGAATCATTCCCTAAGCTCTCTAAAGATACAGCATTGTCACATCACTTCCCCAGCACAGCAGACTCTCGAAAGGAGGAGATAAAGAAGAGTGAGGCGCTTTAAAATATGCTAGAGGACAAATTTGGGCATGCTTTGCTGCTGAGGAGAGATGTAGGAGGGGGGAAAAAAGGACAAGGATGCACCACTTTGGTGATCCACTGTGGCTCCTGCTCTGTCTGGCTGGCTAGTCCTGGGGTTTTTAGGGAGGCTGTGTGCTTTGGGAGAAGCAGGGAATCTCTTCAGCACCAGCCCCCACATCTGGGCAAGAGGCAGCAGGAGCTGGAGGGTCCCTTGGGTGGAAGGGTGGGGGTCTTCCTGGAGGGGCAGACTGAGCTTGATGGTCTCTTAACTTCTTTTTTTCTTTATTCTTGACGTTTTTGTCGTTGCAGTCCTGCTGGAGTCGCTCAACAAGAGCGAGCAGTCGGCCAATGGCCAGTCCCAGTCCAGGGAGTCCACAAACCCCCCTTCCGGAAAATGAGCGGGGACTTCCCGTCGGCCAACGGAGAGGCCGGATGGGAGGCCCCCAAGGGCTACACTCAGGACCAGGTGGATGCAGTGAAGAGGTGCGTGAGCAGCTCTCTGGGGTGGTTTGCTTGGCCTTGTCACGTGGCACCGCTCTGGTTTTCACGGCCTTCTAAAGATTCCAGCCTTGAAACCCCGTGGAGTGGTGTT